TGGATTCATGTGGTGTTTTTCCACCAAAACGTGAAGAAAAGTGCATTTCCATGATTTTGACTTAGGTTTAGGTCATGGGCTAACACAATAATATATATATATATATATATATATATATATATATATATATATATATATATATATATATAAAGGTATAAAAAGCTAACACAATATCAAGACGGATAAATGGTCGATACAATTGATTGAATATGGTCACCTGTAGTGCAACAAACTTTGTTTCTACTTACTGAATGCAAACATGTGGGCAGAGATTAACAACAAACTTTGAAGTTTTTTTTTTCTTTTTTTTGTTTTCTCTATAAAAAATGTAGAATTCCAGGGGCAAATCAATCACACACAACAAAACAATATACTTTATTATGGAAAATTGTTAAAAATCAATTTTTATAAAGTACAATGCTATTAGATGTGGTATCATGTCCTACATGATATAATCTGATGGTCACTAACCCATTTGTTTTTTAAATTCTTTCTTGTTTGTTTTTTCTAGAGAAAAAATTTAAAAAATGTAATATTTTACGAACATAGCTTGAGAATATAAATTTTAATTTAGGTTATAATGTATTATAGAATCGGTACTATTTGCCATTCCATGTGTAATGGTGTATACACAGAGCCATGGTTAATTTATCATCAGTTTAAGAATATTGATATGTTTCAAAGTTCCTATAATAATAGTTTAAATCTAATGTAGGACACCATTACTGGATTTTTACTTGCTGGAGTAGGGAACGTTCACATAAGGAGTAAGGAAAGTAAGATGTTTAAAGAATGTTGATTAATTGTTTTTCATGAATTCTCAACACGAATATAGAGTGATAACAGGTAATAAGAACATAGTAAATGCAAGAAATTGGAGAAGAAGAAAGAGATCCAGAGTAAAGAAAGAACTTGGAAGAAAATTTGGAGAAGAAGACCGCTGAGGAAGACCACTGGAAATCGTATGCCTCAATCCAAAATCATGAGAATCACAACTTTAATGTAATCATATATATATATAGGTGTTTTTGAATAAGGAAACCATTATTTCCAAAAAAAGAAGGGATCCTAAGACATCATATATGAGATTTTCGAATATTTAGTTGGAAAAAAGAAAGATATTAATTATATTGATTCAAAATTTCAAATTAATTGATAATTTTCTTATTTACAGGACATTACTATTATAAAAACTTAAATGGTTTAGAATAATCGGTTAATGGGGAATCTGGATATATGCATAAATGATTAAAAATATATGATTTCAATTATAGAAGAAGAAGAAGCTGCTGACCTGGCTCATTTCACCTTTTATACAATTTATCCTATTTGCATTAGGATCGTTTGATTAATACTCTATTTTTTGGTTAAGAACCCTTGAAAATTCATCATTCATGCCATAAGCTTGGGCTGATAATACTGCTCGACGATAAGTCCTCACAAACTTTTAATGAATGCCTTCAAGAAAAGCAAAAGGAATCCTTCCTGAAAAAATAATGTATCATCTACTTTGTCCATATTCTACAAATCATCAAGTGACTTGTTTAATAAAAAAGATAACAATTACATTGTACAACAATGTTACGGTGAGAAGATTAGATTACGCACGATAAATTAATTCAACTTCCTTTTCAATTCCATATATAAGAAAACAAAGAAATGAATTTGATTTTCAAGTTTCAATCTCTGTATTTGACATGATAATAGAGGCTAAACTGGAAGAGCAATTCAGTTAACGCAAAATCCTAATTTTTTTACAAAGTAGGTACAATAATAATAAAAAAAAGATAAATAAAGAAAAACAGACTTAATGTTATTGCTAACATTGAAATGTTTGAAAAAAAAACAATAAGATGTGTGAATATCTATAATCATTGAGGGACCTCTTTGTAAACAACATTTTTTGTTTTATTAATTGGAAAACAATCATTGTCACATATTAGTACCTTCAATCATTTTTTACTTGTGACGTGATAAACGACATATAACTAACCATGAGTGAAGACGAGCCTATGCAAGTAGGATATCCAACATTTGATAATGTTTGTCCTTGATTTTAGTTAATGACAACGACCGATCAATGTTTCATCATTATAACATTGTACTATAACAAATCTACTATTACAGTTATAGCAACATACTTTTATTTTTTAAATAGCAAAAAAAAAATCCCACCATTGGTATCCAGTTATGTAATATATTTCTTGACACATGATATATTACTATAATGTTTTTCTGCGTTACGGAGTGAGGGTCCAATGACGTAATCTTTTTTTGCCTAGGGACCAATTATATAGTTATTTTCCACCACAAGGACCAATTATGTAATCTTTTTTTCCACATGGACCATTTCTGTAATTTTTTTCTTGCATTTTTATTATTGGTAAAGAGCCATAAGTATGATGCTTTCATGGGTCAAACTGAGCTTCATTTTAAAACGGTATAAACTACTATAAAAAAACCTTGAAAAACAAACAAAAATCAATGACAATTACAATAAATTGCTATTTGGAATTACCCGTAAGTATGTTGCTATGTTGGTAAGAAGAGGTGCTTCTGTTGTACTCTTTAATTGTTATAATATTCAACTTGATCCAACAATTATTCAGAAAAACAACAACTCTTTAGCAACATATAGGGTATGAAAAATTCAACTGAAAGGAGTAATTAAAACAAATCCAACCATTTAATTATTACAAATATTGATTCTTTGAAAAATTAAATTAAAAGGAGTAATTAAAAAAATCACAAGAGTGTACAACATAGCTGAATGGTTTTAATTATCAAACGTAATAGCAACAACAAAAACCACGGTAAAAAAATTATAAACAATATAGAATGATTGGCATGTATATCAAAGACAACCATTTTGCTTAAAAAACATGAAAGAATGCCTAAAAAAAGATTAGTGACGATTTAAAACATTAGATGAAAGTTGGTTTGGTTAGAATGACATTAGACCTCTTACTGGTCCGGTAGTTAACGTCTGACCTGGTCCAGGTCAGTGCGTTTGATAACTCATTATTGCCTATTACTTTAGAACAAAGTTTGGTTTGGTTCTTATTTTTTTCTTGAAACAAAACCAAAGGAAACTACATTAGCTCACCACAAAGAACAAATTAACATCATCATTGAACCAAAATCACATGCCTTCTCAAAACTGTCTTCATCAAAACACCTTCCAGGTCAAATAAAATCTTATGTTCTTCATCAAAACACATGCATAACTGGGCTTTTCATTGATGCTTTATTGCTTCGACTAAATGGTAGTCCGTCTTTAGAGCAAAGCAATATGAGTTTTCCTACCTTCCGGTATCAGCTTTATGGCCTTGATCAAGAACCCATTAACATCGTTGAGACCTTCACATTCTCGTAGTAATTACAGACCACATCTTACGTGACAGTGGCGTATGTGGTATGGACTCGGATTACCTATGTGCTATGACTCGTCTTCGCGATACAATTTCGGGATTTGAGTGTAGCGGTTTCACTAATAAGGACACCGCCCCCCCTAAATCCCAAAAAGCTTTGGCGTGTGCCCTTTTTAGCAAAATCGTCCAAGATATGGAAGTCAACTTCGACATGACTGTCAGACAGAAAGCAGTCTTTGAGTGTCTGCGGGCACCTCATGCTCAGGATTTTCTGCTAACTATCCCTATTGATGGTATTGGACAGCATATGTCTCCTGTGGAGTACCGAACTATCCTTCGGTACCGCCTCATGATTCCCATATTCCCAATTGACGAGATATGCCCAGTTTGCCGCAAGGCATGTTTGGATACCTTTGGGGAACACGCGGTTCATTGTAGAGAGCTCCATGGTTTCAAGTACAGACATGATATGGTTCGGGATGTTCTCTTTGATGCTTGTCGGCGTGCTGGTATTTTTGTGAAGAAAGAAGCGTCGATGAACTTTCTGACGGACCCGCAGGATGGAAGGTCCACACTTAGACCGGCAGACATTTTGGTCTTTGGATGGATAGGAGGGAAGCATGCGTGCGTGGATCTTACTGGGGTCTCTCCTCTCGTTGGTTTGGGGAGCGGGGGTTTCACAGCTGGACATGCCGCTTTGAAAGTCGCTGCGTGCAAAGTTGTAAAGAACGAGAATGCATGTATAGAAAATCAACATGTGTTTGTACCTTTTGCATTCGATACATTTAGTTTTTCTTGCACCAGAGGCGGTGGAGCTCCTCAATAGAGTCCAACGGGTCATGCATTCTAATGTCATATCTCCTAGATCCACAAATATTGTTTTCAAAAGAATTGGTTTTGCCATCCAGAAAGGGCTAGCGGCGCAACTTGTTGCCCGTTTGCCTTCAATCGATATGTATTGAACTTTTATTTCCTAAAATGAATGTATTTGAAGATGAAAAAGATATATTAAGATGTCATCGGTTGCAACCACAATTTAGAACACGGAGAAGCTTGGTGGCAGATTCAAAGCCGATGGTTTGGAAGAATTTTTGAGTGGTGAGGAAAATGAATCGTGAAGAAGGGCATGAAGAAGAAAACAAATTTGGGTTGCGTATTGCTTTAATAGATTATTTGTTTTTTTTTTTTTGAAACGGAAAATATGCAAGCGAAAGCCCGTTTTGTCTTTTAGAGCAAAGACCCGGGTCTCGAGCTCCTTTACAAGGCAAACCCTCAGCCTTTTTTTGGGATTTCCAAGGAAAATTCTGTCAAATCTGACTCAGTCAACAAGTATCAAATAGCCCCTAAGTATTTTTTTTATGTTGTTATTAAGAATGTACAAAGCCACGATTCGAAGAATGATAAATCACACTTATAAGGATATAGCTTCTAAATGATTAATCATAGTTATAGGAATATTGTTTCTAAAATGCTTGCCACTTCAGAGACGGAACAACCAACAACTATGTCTTTCAAATTCACAACACAAATCTTGCGACACATAGTTAAATTTCGTCCTCACATTTATAATAAAAAAAAATTAAAAATGCATAATCGAATTTGGAATAACTTTCATTTATTGGAAGGCTTTTTCTGGTGTTTAGTACAAACAACAATGCCAAAGCTTTATTTACGTGATATACATATACTTTTTCAACATACAACAATATTCAGTCGAGCATAAGGTACATAGCTATGCATGAGAAATTTCTATGGTTTTAGAAACTTGTCAAGCCAATCACTCACTTCTTTAAGCATTGATGATGTCACTTCATGTCCAATTCCTGGTTCGATTATCACCTAAATTTCATTAACAAGAAATCACATTATTACCTCATATACAACACAATATTACATCATATAACATTATCCTTTACTTTTTTTTACCAATGTAGACAATCTACTCAATTTATTACCCATAATAGTAACATACTAATATTCTCTGGGAGTAAAGTACGTAGCTATTCCATGCAATTTGCTCATTTAGAAAAAGCAAGAAACATTGGTGAAAAGTCAAGAGTCAAAAGTCAACACCTTGAAATGATTCAAACATTGGGCATCTTCGAAGGCTTTTTGTGTTTTGTATATGGTAACATCAATACCTTTGGTTGGGCAACGGGGATCGTCTTCACCTGATAGTTTTTTCCATGTTATTATTTCATCAGCAAAAAAAATGGATCAAGAAGAGGAGAGTGGTTTGGTCATTTCACCATTTATAATCAACAAAGGGCGTGGTGCAATGAGTGGCACCGTATAAGGTGAGTCAAACTCAGATTCTAAACCAGCAGCTATTCTGTGCAAAACCAGGTCAAAATAGTAGCACAACAACAACAGTTAGACGCCAGCAGAATGCCACGTCAGCAACACATTTAGCAATCTTTATGGAACATACCTTTTCCACAACCTCTTTGTCAATGGCTTCCTTCCCTAAATCAATCCTTGCTACTGAAGAAAAAGAATATAAATGCACCATCACAAAATCATGCAAAAAAATTATAATTTAGAAAGAGTGCATGTGCTAGCTATAGCTGTAAGATTTAAAAACAAATATTATATATATATATATATATATATATATATATATATATATATATATATATATATATATATATATATATATATATATATATATATACATACACACACACATTTTAAGAGAACTTTTAAACAATTTTTATAAATATATTTGAGGAAATAAATGAGAGAAATTTGTACAAATTTACAGTTCAAAGTCGTTAAACACCGATATATAACTTAACTTACATTTTTTATTAAACATAGAAATAATAACATATAAAAAATAAAGAGTTTATATTTCTTTTGTAAAGTTGCGTCTTAATTACCTTCAAACACAGGCTTCACAGTGTCAACTCGAGCTTGCCATTGATCATTATCTATGGCCCACCGAAAGCTCTACACATTCTATTAAGTTAGTAGGTTAGATTAAGTGTTAAATTAAGCCCATTAAGTCAAAAATAAACAATACCTGAACAGTATTTACGAGGACAGCAACTGAATAACGTGTATCAATAAAAGCAGCAAACCATGCATGCATTCCTGCATCACATATCACAAATGAGTTATGGAATTAAAGGCATAATAACTCATAATAAATATATATATATATATATATATATATATATATATATATATATATATATATATATATATATATATATATATATATATACTCATGTTATTTCAAGATGATGTGTTTAATAAAATATTAAAATTCAACCTCCAAGCGAATTCCCAGTGATTCCTATCTTGGAATGGTCTATATCAGGTCTTTGGGTGGTTAGATAATCTGCCAACTTTATAAGGTCCCACACCTAAAAAATAATAAATGTTAAACATTTGGGCATCAAAAGTATATAATGAATGTCATTTGAAAAATTCAAGAGTGAAGAAGTATAACCGTGTCATATATAAATGGCATTGTATCACCTCTTATCCATGATGAAACAAGAGCCTGGTACTCTCAAAAATTGAGATCATGAAAGATGATTTGTATATTATCCATTGACCATTGTACTCTCAAAAATCTACCCAACTATAGCAACGAAAAGTTGGTTTCTATGTGAATCACATTGCTATAATTGGATAGATTTTCTTCAATGTAGGATGCTATAATAAATAAATATATGAAAGTATGTTGCTATTTCTTATTTTCTTGCATTTAGCCCTATTCTTTTTTTGGCATAAACCAAATAAAATTAAAGAAAAGTTTCGGTGCTCACATCTTGATAGGCGGTGGGGGTTTTGGCACGTTCTCCATGGTAACGAGCATCAATGGCAATTGCAATATATCCACGTGAAGCATAAACCTGAATTGAAAGGAAGAACTCGTTAGATGAAAGTCTTTTGTCAAATGAAGAAATGACCAGTCTACCCTTGTAATTTTATATTATACCTCAAGTAAAGGGCATAGATACTCTTTGTTGGCATTTGATGGATGCAGATAAACAACAGCTGGTCTTTTCGATTGTGTGCTTTCTTTCATGCTCAAAATGAGCACAGGCAGACGCCCTTGCTCTCCTTCCTAATTTTAATAAAATAATAAGTTTCACATATTAAACTTTATGCATCATATATTGGTATTTCCAATTTGCTCTTGTTTTCCATATTCCAAAGTACGTAGTTATTTTCTTAGATATCTTTTAAGCATCATATATTCATATTAAACTTTATCCGGTCAACATCCAATGAGACAAAAGAAACATGGTCTAAGTTACCTCAGTGGTTAAGTAAAAGTTTTCTTCATTTAGCAGTTCCTTGACGTTAATGCGTGCTTTCGGGTAGGATTTCATTGCCTGATAGTGTTAAATAAGATAACTTTTAACAAAGATTAACAGAAAGCTAAAGTATATGTCAAGTAATATCCACCTTAAAGTCCACCAATTCAATAGGCATTGCCTGATATAAGGGTTCCACCACGGGCTTTGCAGGTAGTTTCAGAAGTGGAACTGAAAACAAAAAGTAGCAGAAATATAATATGAATCCAGATTTTGACAAATAAAGAGATGAACTCATATTTCAATGAAATTATTGATAAACATAATCGTGGTTGGATAAGAGTGATAATAGTAGTTATTGATGAAAAAAGTTAAGCTAGTTATGTTTCTTTTTGAGTTGATGCAAGAGAAAAACTTAATTGAAAAAGTTAAGGAAATGAGGCTTTCCCAATTAGGTCCTAACATTTTACAAATTTACGCCATCTTAGTTTTTCCTTCTCGATTACTTTATTTAGACAACAATTAATGGACAACAAAGAAACATGGTGCTACAATAGAAACAGACAAGTTTTGCACTTTTTCTATGGACAATCAAACGAGTTATTTTATAATGAAAGCAACTGGCCTTATAGTACTCTTACTAGATTGAGGAAACCGTCGATATTCATAAACAAATTTAGATACATAATACGCACACAATTTAGCTCGGACCTCCATAGCCACTATCTTAGCTCAAAAGAAATCTACTCGACTAGCTGTCTAGCAGCAATGTCTATCCTTATGTCTGATGTCTGTTTGTAGAGATTGTCCTCACTGCTGTCCTCTTCTTCTTCCTCAGCTTTGCGTCTGCGCTTTTACATGTAATACTTTTGCATGCATGGTTTGCTGCTTTTCTGTGAGCTATCTGTACAAGTTCTGCAATGGAGGTCACTACATTTAACCACACATTCCCAGATGCCGAGTTTCCTGTTTGAAACAAAACTGGTGCTGTTGTTAGACTCAGCTATGGAATCGGTTAGTTTCCATTTCTTTTCCCTATTTCATTGTGTGTTGAAACTTGAATGAGGACATTAATTGGTATAGCCAATTCGAGATGGCAATTCCCCAATAAGAACACAAAGAAGAAAAGGATTTGGGACAATTTTCTGCTTCTTTTCCAATGCAAACTTACATCGTAATTTAAATGGGAAAATGCAACAACTATCTAAAAACTAGGATCATGAAATAGCTACCGGAGATGACTAACATTACGTGCCTAAGAAAAAGGGAAACATGAATGCAATTAGATGGTAATGGAGGAGAAGACGGTGGCAACCGTAGCGGAATGGAATGATGTTTTTGGCTAAGGGCGTCAGCCACTTTGTTTTCCCGACCCAGTTTATAGTGGAGCTCGAATTCATAACCCAAGAGCTTAGTGATCCACTTATGTTGTTCAGGTGTTTGAACCGTTTGGGTGAGCAAATATTTCAAGCTGTGGTGATCTGTGAACAGACAAAATTTGCATCCCAACATTTCTTGAGAGAATCGGTGATCGCATAAAGCTCCCGGACATATGTGGAGTTGGCTTGCATTCGGTTGCATAGTTTTTTACTAAAGCAAGACCGTTCCAAACATATTTTGGGCTCAGGACGAAAGGAAAAAAGGCCCTTAAACTACACAAATTGCATCGATTGCTTTTATAATAATTCAATAATTGAAAGAAAAATACTTATACTAACTTCTAAATATAACATTTTCGATTACAAATATTTATATAATTAAAGAAAAATATATCTTCTAGTATTTTGAGATGAAAAATCATTAATAATATCTTCAAAATTGACCTTGTCTAACATATGATTAATAGAGTGTATAAATTTTTTGGGCCATTTAAAAGATGAGCCATGGACGGTCGCCCTTATCGTCCATCCTGTGGGACGAGTCTGTACTATAGAATACAATTGGCTTATCATTCTGGGATAAAACTGAGCCAATAGTGGTTCTGGAAGCATCGGTGGTGATATCGAAGGGCTTTGTGAAGTCTGGACGAGTTGGTAGTGAAGTTCCATGTAATTACGGACAGTTGAGCGTAACTACGGACAAACCTCCTATAAAAACCTGTTAAGCCCAAAAATGTATGAAGGGTTATGAAGGAGTTTGGAGTGGGCCACTTTTGGATTGTACTTATTTTTTCTGGGTCGGCAATGAGTCCTACCAGTGAGTCCTACCGATGAAAGACGATGACCAAGAAAGTGAATTTTAGAAACTCCAAATTCACATTTTGATGCTTTGGCCTTTTATTGATTTTTGAGAAGTATCTCAAAAACTATTTGAAGGTGCTCATAATGAAGTTCAAGTGATGGGCTGTATATGAGGATATCGTCGAAGAATACCAAGACCAAATGAAGAGTAACCGCGTTGATGGCACGAAAGTCCACACAAAAACCCCATGTACCATCTTTTTTTCAAACGAGAAGCACTGGTGAAGAGAATGGACATTGGCTAGGTTGTATGACACTGCCAGTAAGCATCTGGTCTGAGTTTGTAAGGCTAGAGGGAGTGGGCGCGACTGAGGCCGCACTCCCCTTGCCACATAAGCACAAACACCACCCCATGGGTGCGGTAGAGGGTGCAGTGCGGCATTCCAAGGGAGCACTCCTTCAAACAACATGATTGGTTCTTTTTTCTTACCTCCCTCTGATTGGTCCCTTTTATTTACTAAAAAAAAAAAAAAATACCCAAGTGTGGCACCACTCCTTGGGTGTGGTATGAAACCACACTTTTGTTGAGGTGGCGCCTACGTGTCACTACGGTTTCATGAGGGAGTGCGGCACCACTCCCTCCAGCCTAAGTATCTCGTGGGTATGAGTGATGTCAGATTGGGTGTCACTAATACCATTGGAATCATCATTGTCGGCTATTAATAAGAATTCAGATCGGCGTTTTGTAATGCATCAGGAGATAAACGGGTGAAGGGTAATTCCGGGTTTGGTTTGGGTGGGGGTTGTAGTAGCGGTTGGTTAGATGAATTTGTGACAGTGGAGGTGCAGTGGGGTCATAGACTCAGTCAACTTTCAAGAGTTGCTCCTTTAATCCCTAAAATGGATGGGTATTTTGATTGTTCTTTTGGGCCTGGTTGCAGCTTTTGGAGTAGCAAGGTGAACCCCATTGTTGTTGGGTTGGGCTACGACAATATCATTAATGGTGGTACTTCATCGAATAGCCGATTCTATGGTGATTCATGATGGGGTTTTGATTTTTGATATCTCTAACGAACATCGATCAATGGAGATTAATAGTTTGTTGTTCTTCATGATTGCATCTTCCTTTCTAATAAAGGTGAAAATTTCATACATACCTTTTGTTTTTGGTAAACATATTGTTCAACTTTGGCCTATTAAACATATGTTCTACAAAATCCATCCACACATTAACTCAAAATTGGTGTAAAACCAAAACAAGAGATGATTGCATCAAAAAAACTTGATTATTGATTCCTACCCTAATGTGGAAGTACCAAGATCATTAAGCATAAGAATTAGATAATTGACCATAAAAAAAGGTTAAAGTTCATCCCTGAATACTGTAACAAAATGATTAAAGTGTAAATGCAAATAAACCATCATATGCTTTTTATTAAAAAATCTCCAATTTTACACACTGTAATGTTTATTTCTTGTATTTATGCAAGAACCTTTGTTTGTAACAAAAATTAAATTATATTTTTCGTTTCTTCTTTTATAAATAAAAATCTTGAGTGTCATATATGCAATGGTGTCAGGTTATTGAAGGTTTATGGGTGGTTTGTGCCAGTAGTGCTATTTCAAGGTACATACTTTGTTTTGATGTGTTCTTTTTTGAAATTGTATTAAAGTAAACATTTTTTATTTTTTTTTTGTATAGAAGAGGATGTAACTGAACCTGCATTTGATGATATTACACCTCGAAACAACTTTTTGTAGATATTTCGATCAAGGTATGGATGTCAGATGAAGTAATCTTCTAGTTTAAACAACTTTTTGTAACTTAAATAGAGAAACTTATAATATTATATACCTATTAATTAGAATTATGACGAAAAAAATATTTTGAAACCAAGTGGCCGTCCAGCCAAATAAAGTTTGAACTGAAGAAACAAAACTCATATACAAATTTACACCGTCTTAGTTTTTTTGCTTACTAGATTGAGGAAATTGTCGATATTCATAAACATATCTAGATACATAAAACGCACAGAATTAAGCTCGGATCTCCATAGCCACTATTTTAGCTAAAAAGAAATCTTATACTACTATTGGCAATCTAGCTGCAATGTCTATCCTAGAACAACTCCTTATTTTTGTATATTGCATCGTATGAGAGTAGAGGAGAGCATGATATGAGCCCAAATATTCGCAACAAATCAACATCAAAATTGACCAAATCTATGAAAGAAGCTTACCTGGAGGAGAACGGCGACTACGAAGAACTTCAAGGTATTGTGAACGGAGGTTGGCTGCTGATTCGACGGGCTCCATCTTCTCAAAATTTCGACGAGCAACGGTGACATGAACACGTTGAGATAATATGTTGTGTTTATATTTATAGTAGAGTAATTGCGATATGGGAGTAGGTGAGAGTGATGGAACACCTCGGATATGTGGTGGTTGTATTTGTACCTAATAGAGTGTGAATAGAGAGAACAAATTACTGAAATGGTCCCTATTGTTTGCAAAAATTTCACGTTTGGTTCCTATGTTTTCTTTTGCACTTGGGCGGTCCCTAAGTATTGATTTTATTGTGTTTTTCATCCCTCAGAGCTAAAAAAGACTATATCGCCCTTTATCTTTAAATTTTTTTCATTTTTTATATTATTAGTTTATTATTAAATAATATAAATTATTAAATAAACTTGAAATTGGACCCACCCAAAACCCTACACCCCTCATGTCCTCTCTCGTTTCAGTTCATCTGCATTGCAAACCACCGGCCACTGTCGAAAAACACCAAACACTACCAGAAAACACCAGATGTCATCATCGTAAAACACCAGACGCACGAGGAAACCACAAGACACCACCGATCTAAACTCTAAATCGGAAAACACCAGACGCACGAGGAAACCACAAGACACCACTGATCTAAACTCTAAATCTACTGATTTGCTCCATCAACCACCGATCTTCATCACCGGAAGCCACTAGAAGCATCCTGCAACCAACATTTGTCATTGTTGGAAGGAGATTTGAAGTAGTGAGGGATGGAGATCTGGTTCATGAGTCACTTCTCTTCTTCTCGACGCCCCCATCTGGACATCCGACCATCGACTGCATATGCTCCCTCCTCGCTCTTCCCTCTTCGCCATTGACTGCATCTGTCCTTCCTCGCTCATCCTCTCTGCTATCAGTTTTGTAAAGGGTTTAGGGGTGGTGGTGGTTCACTTTACTTGTCTTCCTTCTTTCTTGTCACTATGGCGGGGTTAGCTTCATGACACCGTAGTGGATCCCGGTGGTCATTGTTTCATGGTACTATGACGGTGGTGGCTTCATGGCTATGATGGCAGGAGATCTAGAAGCTTTTGGTTTTAGTAGCAGTTTTCAGGAAACGAAGGGAGATATGTTTTCGAGGGAGGAGGTGTTTTCGGAAAGATAAGAGACAAGGATGGTGGTGGTGCTGATTGTTTTTTATTTGTCTGATGACGCTTCCTCCGGTGGGAGGGCTTCAGAAGCGGCGGTGAATTAAAATGAGAAAGAAGTACATGAGAAGTTTGGGGTGTAGGGTTTTGGGTGGGTTCCATTTTAAGGTTATTTAATCATTTTTATTCATTAATAATAAACAAATGATAATAAAAAAAAACTAAAACAGATAAAGTCAAAGGACAATGTGGTCTTTTCATCTCTACTAGGGGATGAAAAACACAATAAAAAACAAAATCTAGGGACCATTCGAGTGCGAGCGAAAACATAGGGACCAAATGTGAAACTTTTGCAAACCACATGGACCATTTAATAGTTTGTACTTTAGGATATGCATCGAGCAAATTACGAAAATTGTTTGTTTCATTTAGGATATGCATTATGTAAATTACAAAAATTGTTTGTTTCATTTAGGATATGCATCAAATAAATTACGAAAATTGTTTGTTTCTTTTAGGATATGCATGGAGTAAATTACAAAATTGTTTATTTCATTTAGGATATGCATCGAGTAAATTACGAAAACCGTTTGTTTCATTTAGGATATGCATTATGTAAATAACGAAAATTGTTTGTTTCATTTAGGATATGCATTATGTAATTTACAAAAAATCATTTGTTTCATTTAGGATATGCGTCGAGTTAATTACGAAAACCGTTTGCTTCATTTAGGATATGCATCGAGTAAATTACAAAAATTGTTTGTTTCATTTAGGATATGTATTATGTAAATTACGAAAATCGTTTGTTTCATTTAGGATATACAATATGTAAATTACGAAAATTGTTTGTTTCATTTAGGATATACATCGAGTAAATTACGAAAATCGTTTGTTTCATTAGGATATGCATTATGTAAATTACGAAAATTGTTTGTTTCATTTATGATATGCATTATGTAAATTACGAAAATCGTTTGTTCCATTTAGGATATGCATTATGTAAATTACGAAAATCATTTGTTTCATTTAGGATATGCATCGAGTAAATTACGAAAATTGTTTGTTTCATTTAGGATATGCATTGTGTAAATTATGAAAATCGTTTGTTCCATTTAGGATATGCATCGAGTAAATTACAAAAATCAGTTTTTTTCATTTAGTATATTTTGTTTTGATGTGTGTGTTTTTTGAAATTGTATTAAAGTTAATATTTTTACTTTTTTGTATAGAAATTGAGAATGTAGCTGAACCTGTATTTTATGATATTACACCTTGAGATCCTGATTTTCTGGGGGGATGAAGTTGGGGCAATATATGTCAAATTGAGTTAATACTATCGTAAAGTGAGTGCTTCACATTTTTCAGCCCTAATTTCATGCAGTAACGTTTATGCTGATGCAGGTCACTGCTAGAAGAAAATTAACAACATAGGTTTTATCTTTTCAACTTCCATATACTAGTATGATATTGCTTTACAAATAAACCATATGCATTTGGCACCCATTCTTTATGTTTATGTTTTTGTAAATATACATAATCACATGAAATCTTTTCTTCTTTGTCCTCCTAATTTGAATGCAACTTCTATCAGAATCTAAAAAAGTCTATTTTCATACTGTTGCAAACTTAGCAGAGTGCATAAAATACCTAGAGCAATCATTAGATATATTCATGGAATTTGGGTGGCCCGACACTTTAAGTGATTGCAAGTGTTAAAGTGGCAGTCGATAGATGTATTAACTTATTTCTTGCGTATTTTACATTCCATTACGATATGAGTTACATGAAGATAGCATGTATGAATTTTATACACTTGAAGTTGCACATGTGATTTATAATTTGGAATGCGTGAATATCAATCTTTTTGTAGATATTTAGATGAAGGTATGGATGTCAGATGAAGTTTTATCTACATGCACCCATCTAGTTTAAAAAACTTTTTGTCACTTAAATAGAGAAACTTGTAATATTATATACCTACTAATTAGAATTATGAAGAAAAAATAATTATATTTTGAAACCAAGTGGTAGCCTAGTAGCTGAATAAAGTTTGAATCGAAGAAGAAAAACTCATATACAAACTCCATGTACTAAAACACTAGACCTAACTAGAAAACATCAAACACTACCGGAAACCACCAGATATCACACGAAAACACCTGACGCTATCGGAAACCACCATGCGCCAGGAAACTACAAGACACCACCGATCTAAAAACACCAGGGTTCAATTTTAAGTTTATTTAATCATTTATATTCATTAATAACAAATAAAAAAATTAAAAAATAAGATAAAGATAAAGGACAATATGGTCTTTTCATCTCTACGAGCACATGAAAAACTCAATAAAACCAAAACCTAGGGACATTCCGAGTGCAAATGAAAACATAAGGACCAAACGTTAAATTTTTGTAAACCACAGGGCCATTTCAGTAATTTCGTCTTTCGGATATGCATTGACTAATTACGAAAAACATTTCTTTCATTTAGGACATGCATTATGTAAATTAGGAATAACATTTGTTTCATTTACAATATGCGTCGAGTTAACTACGTAAATCGTTTGTGAGGCAAACAGTACACTCTAAAGTCGAAACAAAACATTTGGTCCTCTTTTGTTCCAAACGAGTGGCAAAGGCACCGAATATCATTTAGGCTATGTGGTATGGTTTTAACATAAATTACTTTATGCTTACATGACATCTCTTAACAAATGTAATAATACGTGAATTGCTCTGTTTTCATGTGGTGTTAGGCCATTTTGTCTTCTCAACATTTTCCAACGCCGGTTAAAAAAATAATCAAATTTTTTTATTCTTTTTTCAGTGGTGTGATGGTGTGGTGCACATTTCCTAGAAACAATGGAGTCGTATGTAGAATAACGCAACAAATGATCATTCCTACAAGTTATATGAAATATATTTGTAAATTTTTTATTAGACAAATAGACCATTCCTTTCTAATGTTTTCTTAGGGTTTTACAAACTTTTTTAATTTGAAAACTTTAGCTGTCCTAAAAATTTTAAAAAAATAAAAATAAAAAATTCAACTGAATATTCAAAACGATGCTAATCTGCACAAGGGTGGTGCTTTCATTGATAACTCGTAATTGTGGAAAATATTTGTTTTAGAATATATATATATATATATATATATATATATATATATATATATATATATATATATATATATATATATATATATATATATATATATATATATATATATATGGTGAGGTTCAATAGAGAATCATAATTAGCCAAGGAACCAAGGAACCAATCGTGAGCGTCGGAAATCATAACGATCAACGGCCAAGGAAATAGATGTACACTTTTACATTGGACGTACACACCAGATTATACCAAAAAATACACCCTTTACAAAAAAACCCACCACTTTTTTTCGTTTAAAATTTTTTTTAGGCCATGTTTTTTATCAAAAAAAAAACCGAATATACCGTTTTTCACGATTTTTCGTCCTCTTTCCATAGAGATGCATGATAATATATAAAAAACGAACTTCTTTTTTTTCGAAAAAAACCCACTTAATATACAAACTCCATGTACTAAAACACTAGACCTAACTAGAAAAAATCAAACACTACCGGAAACCACCAGATATCACAGGAAAACACCTGACGCTATCGGAAACCACCATGCGTTAGGAAACTACAAGACACCACCGATCTAAAAACACCAGGGTTCAATTTTAAGTTTATTTAATCATTTATATTCATTAATAACAAATAAAAAAACTTAAAAAGTAAGATAAAGATAAAGGACAATATGGTCTTTTCATCTCTACGAGCACATGAAAAACTCAATAAAACCAAAACCTAGGGACATTCCGAGTGCAAATGAAAACATAAGGACCAAACGTTAAATTTTTGTAAACCACAGTCAGTAATTTCGTCTTTCGGATATGCATTGAGTAATTACGAAAAACATTTCTTTCATTTAGGACATGCATTATGTAAATT